AATCCTCTGTACGTAGAAACTGATTATCAGCTACAAAAGTAAGTGTCCTACAAGTCAGGGATGCTGAATTTGCTTACTCTGCCTTTATAGAATTGATGTAATGCTGTGCACAGGAAACAAGTTGGTCAGATGAATAGAACATGAGGACAAGTGCTGTTGATTGAAACACACCCCTGCACAACTCCTACACACTTTAATGGGAGTTCATGTGTGAGCCCAACTACCAACCTCTGGACAAAAGAATAAAACCTCTTTCACAAAGGAATAATAAAGAGAACCTGTATTTACATTTGCAACTAGGGATCAAGAACATTTAGTTTTGAACACAACTGTGACATCGTTTCAAACCCTAACAATGAAATGTTTTACACAGTTAAGTGTCTATAGTTTTAGAAAGAAAAAAAACTTTAAAAACCACTTACAAATCATCTCCAGCACAGATGAGTTCAATCTCAATCTCATACTTAATAAATAGGAAGCATCCAAAACATGATCAGAACTGAGATGCTTTTAACTATTAAGTGATTCCAGAGTCTGCTACTTTCAGAGAGAGGCTGGGCTGTTACTACAAAAACTGAAGTCTAAGTTCTTCAGAAAAGAATGGAGCTCGTGGGACACAAGTGCTGAAACATGCCTGTTAGGGAGATTCACTGCATGCCAAACCACTGCTCTTGATCTGCCCACTGTGCTGCTTCACTATCACTGCCCTCCAAATCCCCTTCTTCTCCACTTCCTTCCATATCATCCACATCCTCTTCCTGGGTTGCATCTGTTGGACTCTCTTCCTTTTCCATTTTCTGCATTCCTTCTAAAGACTTCTGATCATTGGGATCCAAGCTGAGGGAAGGAAAAAAAGCAGGAGTTACCCTCAACTGTAAGGAAGCAAACATGAGAAAAGTGTCTAATCAAAGCTAGGCTCCACTTCCTTTCCCCACCACTTCCTGCTTATTGCCGCTAATATTTAAATATAGCAAAGATGCTGTCACTTAATCTCAGCTTGATGTTATAACTTGTCAGCAAAAGGTGGAAGAGGATCATTAACACTATATACTGCATCTTTGCACAAATTACCTTGACCCTGGAGCATTCACTCTCTGAACACCACATCCTCCCTCCCATGATTTGAAAACATAAACATCAGAAACCAGGAGGAGACAGGAAAAAATAGACTAGCACCAAGGCATAAACAGCCAACCGATCTAGCACTGCACTGTACTGTAGGCATATTAAGTCAGCAGGGCACAGGATAAGCTTAATTTTTGCACAGAATATGCAGTGTATGGTAAATGACATTTTATTCTGAAAAATGCTATATTTTATCAATTCTGAATTATTTTCTCTCTCTGTGTTCAAGGGTTTGCTTTACTGTAAGAAGAAATTTGTTTTCTTGATGTTTAATGGAATCATTTTGTTTGAATTTGGTTAATCCCTTGTGTTTATATAGCACCTTCCAGCTCAAAAGGAATGGAGCACAAGGTGCTTGACAGGCGGTATAATAGTTTAAGGATTATAAACAAATCCATGCCTTAATCCTCCTTATTAGTGCAGCAATTGACTGGCTGGTAACATTAGAAAAATTTATGACTGCAATACTGATTGCTGTCCTTAAGTACGACAGTTCCCAACTCAAAAAATCTTAAGAGCAAGATAACTCATCAATGAAGAGGCAGCGTGTAAAAAAATTGACAGAAGTGGCTTTGACATACGTCTCCTCCTCTCTTTGCTGTGACAATTCAAATGGGTTAGTGAAATGATGAGCCACAGAAACCGCACACTTCTTGGAACTAAGAAATATAAAAATGAAGGACAAATTTTACCTGAGGGCAATACTGTACTGGTCCATAGCTTCCTGATATTCATTGACAGCTACAAGAAAGTCTCCCAGTATTCGATGCAGCACACAGTCGCTCTGATTAGCCAGTGCATTCCTCAGCAAAGCAATTCCATCTTCATATTTCTGTTCTCTGCCTGTTTACAGAGAGATACATTTCAAATCAATAGTTCAGACAGATATTCCACATGTAAAATTACATGATGGAGTAGACACAAAAAACTACCACAGTATTTCCCCCCCTAAAATAATCAGCATAATAATTCTATGGTTGGTAACTATTCTTTGGGACTTTAGTTCTTTGTACATGCTTCTTTTTTGCTCTAATGATAAATATGGTCATAAATATACTGGTTTAAAGTAAGACTCAAATAATCAATTGCTATCATTTTATAAAGTATTTCTACACCTCATCATTGTATTGTCTTATGGCA